AATAAGAAACGCTGCTTACGAAAATTTTCATAGGTTAAAAATATAAAAAGTAACGATAAAAGTAACTGTTAAATTCATTACCGTTACTGAAAAAATGTAACTACGTTACCGTTACAGTTACAAGAAAAAAAATGTAACGCCGTTACCAGTTCGTTACCAAAAAAAAGTAACTGTAACGGTAACGGCGTTACAAGTAACGCGTTACTTCCAAACCCTGGTTTGATTGTAATAAGGAATTGCCAGTAAGGTTGTTTCCATACTTATTAAAATTGTTTAATAATTACATGAAAGATAAATTCGCGAATGAGAGATTGACTTATGCAATAAGGAGGTTTACTTTGAAAATCCAAATGAAAGGCAAAATAAAAGAGATTAAGCTTAGTCCGAAAAAATGACTCATGTTTGCCGGCCCACTCTCCCCCTCTTCTGTTTGAACCAATTAAATCCTGACTGAGACGCGCCGCTTAAGACATCACGCGTTCAGTTATTCTTAGTTCATTTGCCGAGATAGCCGCGGTACGTTTCGGCCGCGCGACGCCAGATACGTCGGCTCTCCCTAATCGAGAACGCGAATCGTGCGCTCCAAGAAGCCTGCGCAGGGGTAAGAAGAGCTCGTTAATATATTACATATTCACCTTCGTGCACACTACCGGCGCGCCGGTGTCGGCGATGATGCACGCGATTATGGACGACGCGACCACCGGTAAACTTGTTCGGGTCGAGGATATTCTCGACGGAAAATGCGAGGCACCGCTTGTTGTTCGTCTGCACCGTGCTGGTGGCGGTCGTGGTAATGCTACCTGTCGACGTGCCGGTGGTAGTGCGCGCCACACCACCGGAAGTGCACACCGTCATGACGGCCGAGCCGGTAGCGCCGTGCCCGGATATATACACTGGCGTCCCGTGGCCGGCGGGCCCGTGGCCACCACTTTGCACACAGGTGAAAGAATGCACACGGTTGGCGAAGGGATGAACGAATTGCTCGGGCGCGACGCCCCTCGACGAGGGAGCCGTGAGATCCACCGGGCTGCTGGGATTACTCTCGTCGACGTCCTCCCGACACACGTCGACCTCGACGTCGTCCCCGTCCTCGTGGTAGTCACCGTTTCGGTGCCCTTCGGACTGACCCTCTTCCTCCTCCTCCTCCTCTTCCTGTTCCTCGTCCTCCTCGTCCACAACGACGTTTCTTCTGCTCGACGCGTCTCGCTCGTTCTCGATCTCGTCCTCCTCCTCCTCCTCCTCATCCTGCTCCTCCTCCTCCTCGTCGTTCGGCCTTTTCTCCCTCACCTGCGGATCTGTCTCGTGGTACTGATCCTTCTCGATGGACGCGCTGACGGACCGCAGGATCGGTGGGCTCGACGGCGATTGTTGCTGCCGCACGCTGTCGTACCTCGGGAAAGATTCGCCGGTGCGTACGAGTAACACGGGTCTTCTTTCCTGCGGCGGCAACGACAGACCGCCGCGCATGTCGACTTCCTCTCGCTGCAGGACGACCGGTCCTAAAGGCGACACGGTCCTGCCTTCCTGCATCCTCCACATTACCCGTTCGTGAGAAAACGACCTTTCTTTATCTAGTCTCGCGTCCCTTCATCTTCGCTTCCGAAACGTACGGCAATTTTCTTCACTCTCCGAACCGGTTCTGCGTTTCGTATATCCCTCTTATCGGCGAACTTCACTTTTGGCTGAGGGACCGGCCGCGTTCGGCCACTGTAGATCCAACCGCAACCGCACTTTCCTCCTTAGAACGTCACTAATCCTGACACGCTCGATTTCTTCACTAGTTTGTTACATTCGTCGTAACAGTGGAACAATTGACGAACGCGAGATCGATTCGATCCGATGAAATTGCACTTTCCGAGATAACGCGCGGGGCGAATCGGCAAAGCTCGGCGGTGTCGGATTTAAGACATCCCTCGCGGCATGGACGCGCGATTAGCAATGTCTTTGGTGGCTCGACGCGGCGCGCGTACCGTGGCCAGGCTACTCTACGCGAGAGTCCCGCGTAGAGCCATGGTGGCAGAATTGGTGGTGTATATCGGCGTATTATTAGCGCCGAGGAGAGAGCCGCCGCGCGAAGAGCGGTGGCACCGTGGGTCCAAGTGGAACGGCGAAAGCGGGGGTTCGTTCCGCCTCAACGGGGCGTGGTTAACCCCGCTCGCGCTACCCGAAGAGCTACCGCCAGCCGCCAATGGGCGTGCCGGACGGTTCTCCGCTAGGGGTTGCGCGCACACACGTGCTTTAACACGCTCGTAACCGAGGACCGCACCGCGAGGGCCCCGACCTGCCTCTGTGTTGGTCGCGTGCGCATCGTTGCACACACTTGCACGGCCGCGCACACGCACGTGCCACACGTACGAGATAGCGGTATACATGAGCGCATCGCAGCCCTGAATGGACGAGGCACGGACACGCGGACGAGTCGCGTGCAGACGTCTCGCGGTGAGCTTTCGTCGGATACTCGGCTATGTACACACAGGTACCAACTTCCATCCCCATCCCCAACCCACCCGCCCGCCTTACCCCCTTCTCGTTTGCGCGTCTCTCCGCCTCTTTCCGCGATCGGACCGGTTCTCTCTAAAGTGGTTTGTCTTTGATTTAACCACCACAGCGACTCCGTTGAGCGGCGCCGATGAAGGAACACCTTTTTCCTCGGAGCACACGCGAGCGGCATCGGGGGCATCGTTCGTTGCGCTCGGGAAGGAAGGAAGGCAGAACGTGTGGAGGAATTGCGTGCTCGCCGCGTGTATACGCGTTCGCGAAACGCTCGGTGGGTTTGGCGATGATCGTCGGTGTGTTGTCGGCGGTGGGGGCGGCGCATCGCGGCCTCTTCAATGCTTGTGTATAGCGATCTCCCTGCGTACGGGGTGGAGGGTATAATCGTGGTAGGTACACGGAGCGCGCTCTCTCTCTCTTTCATCCCTCTGCGAATGCGGGGAGTGGGTTGTGGATGGTACTAGCGATCAAATCAGGACCAACACACAACGGCCAAACGACCGACCGACCGACGGACGTACGGACGGACGGACGGACGAGCGGACGGACTGATGTGAGAGCTTGGTGTTGGTACCGCTCCGCTCTTAACTCGGTGCACGGATATTGTTTACCCGACCATTTAGGTAATTGCTGGCCTACCGCCCTGCCAGCCAATCGAACGTAACCGGCGGATGTGTCTGCAATACCGATCGCCTCCTCCCTCCCCCCTCTCTCTCTCTCTCTCTCTCTTCGTCAACTCCGTCGCTCTCGTGATCTCTTCAGCTCTTCTCGTTTCACTCCAATTCCTCGTCTTTCTCTCTCATCTCTTTCCTCTTCCTTCCATTTGTCTTCTATCTCGCTCCGTTGCTGTTCGGCGCGCTACCCCGCCGACCCCTCGATCATCATCAAATTAGCTCGGGACCAATTGTTCGGCGAGACTAACGCCGTTATTGTCACGGTGATCGATTTTTTTCCAGGAAATTGGCGAGATTGGAAAGACACACACGCTTTGCCGGAAGATTGTGATAGCGGAGCGTTTTGACAGTTTTAATGATTGCCGTTGTATTGTCCCGAAGCCGCATTCGGTGATAAATGGTCGGCTAATATAATGCGGCGAGCTCTAAACGTTTCATATACGCGATTGGACTTTGTTGAGGCGACATTGAAAATGCGATCGAGCTTGGGATAGTTTTACAGATGATCCGTGCGTCGCGCACACATTTGCGAACGTGAATATTCCGCCCTAGAAAATTATGAACCACGACGGCAATCACGTCGGATGACAAATTGGATTAAGTGTGCCTTGACTAATTCTCAATTGTACCGTCTCATTATTTGGTTAGCGCTCGAGTGAAGTAACGGCGCGGTAGTTGAGCCGCGCGAGAAGGTATCGCGGTGTTATCATGTTCCGTGAAAACTAATTATCGCGGGTGCCGTAGTTAATGCGATAATAGACCTTTTATTCATCAAGTCCAACCGTTTTGTTAGCCGCGTACATTATATACACACTGCAGCTTGTTCTGCACATACGGGCACCCTAGACGTATCCGCTATTCTTTTCATTTTTATACTCCCTCGAGCAGGCACGAAGTAATTTTCCTTTTAACAAAATTTCGATCGTCTCTCTTCCTCGGTGCTTTAACATAAAATATTTTCGCACATTATTTTCTAATGACGATTCCATTAAAGTAAAAATTCAAAGGGTTCTCATTTGCACGCTCGAAGCATTACTCATCCGGGCGTGTTAACTCGTCAGGCTACGTACCGGTGGCTTCAAATTAATGGAAAAAATCCGTGGCTGAAAAAACCGGGGACGATTTTGGAACACCCTTTGCGCGCGCGGCTTCGGGAAAAAGGTAGAAATACGCTCGCCTCATTCCGACGTGTCACGTGAACGGACGAACGTAATAATTCACCGCGCGTCCCTGTCTACAAAAATATCGCTTTCACGACGCCCTTCTTGAAAATGTCATTCCAAACTTAATGTCAATTATCCGCGAACAAATGAGCGCGGTTGCACTCGCGTCACTTAGGGCCGATTTAGTCAACGTCACTCGTGACGCTAATCTTTGTTCGCAGTATAATACACCTCCTCTCTCTTCCTGCTGTAGCGAGCTATAATTCGTACGAACAGTAGTCTCACGACTGCGCAGTCGATGTATAAGCGAGTTTTTACGTGTCTCAATTTTCGCGACGAGGGCACGGCGGCGTAAACTCGTAGAAAAATCCGGTGGCCCTTTCCCGCCCGCGTAGACATTTTGCAAATCAATATTTTAATTGCCGCGGGAGATAAAAAATTAATGTACTTGGTAAGCGTCACGTACGATGGATCGAGGTCATTTGCGGTGCATTCCGTATGCATGCACTGTTTGCCACTCGATTTGTAGTACGCCAAAACGCAATTAATAATTCAGGACGCTAATGTAACGCGTATCAGCGCACGCTATCCGGGTGATGCTCTAAGCGCGTCGCCCGTCTCCGCGGGAGGGGCAGTTAAACGCAACCTGTAAAAACCTTGACGAATGATTCCATTGTCGAGGATCGAACGCTAGAGAGCATCCCTCGTGCCATTATGGCCCAGGTGAACGCCGGAGCCGGTGGATTACTCCACCTGCTAAAGTGATGTGGGTTTAGGCGGGGGTCCCTAATAGTTCTGAAACGGTACGCGAGTCGGGAGGTTAGCTAGTTGGCGAGATAGACACGGAGCACGATGGTGGTGGGATGCGACGGCGAGAGGGGTTGATAGAGCGATCGAGCGGCCGAGCGGGGCGGGAGGGAAGGTGGGGCGGCGGGGTGCGCTCGGCACGGAGATCGGACAGACCAGCCGTGACCAATTTGCGCCCGTTCGTGCTCCCGATTCTGATCCCGATTCTACCCGTCCGCCACGCTGCGCCGCACACAGCCGCACACGTACGAGCGCCGTGCGCGCGCTCCGCTCGCGTACACACATATCGACGCGCGACCCCCTCGATCTTCCCTTCTCGATGCCCATGCACCCCCCTGTCCCTCCCCTTCCGCCCACTGCTTTCCATCCCCGCCTCCTTTCCCTGGATCCCCCGGATCCGCGCGCGCGTTGGCACCCTCCTGCCAAGAGATATTCGTCACAGAAAGTCGCGTTGTGTCGCTCGGTGAGCAGGCCACCCCAAAAGTTTCACGCCTATCTGGACCGGCGGCACCATCTATTCGCGCCACGATAATTGGCCAATTAAAACCGGGCGAGAGCGTTCGAGTTACCTGCCATCCGATAATTATACGGTGTCCTCGCGGCGGTTCGACCACGTATCCACGCGACCGGGCGTGGGTGGCGGAGACGAATAGCAGTGGAGAGAGAGAGAGAGAGAGAGAGGGTGGGAGAGGGAACGGGGCTCGGGGGACAGGGGTGGGACTCAAATCGCAGGATGGACGCGGGAGGAAAGGTTCCTCCGGAGGGCCGAAAGGCGGAGGACGGAATCGACTATTCCGATCACGTGGCTTCGGATTCTACAACTACGGTGGTC